AGATGAAAAATCCTAGCAAGCCACTGAGTCACGGGCAGACTAGTCTACCAAAGCAGTCTTAGGCCAGACTCCTGCTTAAACATCATTGCATCCAGACCTAATCTGTTCAGTTAACAGATCAAAAAGAATATTGTTCTAACTGCCAACTCCAAAGACTCCCTCTGGGATGCAAGAATCAAATTTCTTCCCCTGCTTCCGAAGTTCTCACTGGCAAGAGATTCTGCAACTGAAAGAACCGAAAACATCGTTAGCTATGCACAAGGCAGAACCGAATCCCACTCCTCCTGCAGCAGCACCAGTGCTGCAGGGCTAGCAGAGGTCAAACCCACATCTTCGGCAGGTCAGGAGAATCGACCGAGAGATGCATACGACGCAAACTATCATGCTGATCTCGGTCGTGTTTCTAGCCGCAGTTGCGTTGTTAGTGGTTTGCCTGAACAGAGCTCAAACAAGCTCAGATAGGGCTAGCTGATAGGGTTACTTCATACCGCCTGGCCTGGCATGTTATTTTTAGGGTAGGATCCGAAGTCACAGAAAAACGGCAAGTCAGAGCGCTAACAGTTTCACCAGCTCCGTTTCCTAGAGCTGCAAACCAAGCGTCAGTGGCAGCTCTCTGCCCTGCCAGCCTCTCCCACAACGTGGCACCAGCCTTCCGGAGAGCTCATCTCACTCCCTATGGCGATCCATCTTCTACAAAGTACCAAGCCAGCTCTGCAAACCTACGGGTTTTCAGTAGCGTTTGAGAAGCTGGCAGAAGGATGTGCCACAGAAACGTGTCAGGGACGTGATTCAAAGGACGCTGTTGAATAATTCAGGTTCCAAGTTTAGGGGGGTTTTAAAGGGCAAGGGGAGAAGAGGAGGAATGAGTGGGTTTTATTTTTGAGTTTGGGGGTTGGTTTTGTTTTTTTAAAATGATTGAAAAATTGGCAGTGGATTTTGCCGTATCACATTCAGAATCAAAAAGAAAAGAAACTGATTACACGCAGTAATGTTAAAAGCACAGCATAAACGCTTCTCTACCACTCTGAACAATGTCAGGTGTTACAAATACCAGTATTTTTTAATTCAAGCAGAGAACTATTTTAAGCTGGTGGTTTCCCTTTGAACGTTCCTCTGCATTGTTGGAAACCTAAACACAAGGGTTTCATTTAATGCATGACTGCCAGAAAGAGACAAACCAACTAGTCTAGTTTCCCTGAATAAAGAGTAAGAGGTGGTACGTATCAGTTATGTTTGCAGTTCTCAGTCTGCAGATACAGAAAACTGTTAGCAGAAAAACAGGCAACAAGGGAGAGGAACAGTTCCATCAGCAGGACTTTCCGAGGATTACCACAGTCCCCTGGGTTTTACTTGGAGCATCAGAATACGCCTGTTCCCGCATTTCTTTCATGTGCTTCATTATGTCCTCTTAAAGCAGAGGAGAGGTGACACCCTACCCCTCACTGCTCTTTCCAGTGCTCATACAGTTAAAGTGCTGCGCTGACTTGAGTAAAGCTCCTACCGCTGTCAGGCAAAGGAAAGTATTAACCTGTTTCACAGATGGGGAAACATGCACAAAGGCTAAATGACTTGCCCAAAGCCATAGGATGACTTAGTGATAGTGATGCCTTACCACAGAGTCCACCCTGGCTGTTCCAGGGCTTTATACCGGATCAAAACCAGGGAAGCTGTGAACTCACTCATCTGTCTTAATCGTACAAGTGTGTGTTGTGTTTCTACATTCATTTGAAGTCTGAGATTGAGACAGTTGGAGATGAAGCGGGGTAAGAGGGGAGCAAAACAAGGAGTTTTGTCTGTAGATTAATAAATCCGCAGAGCTCACATAGCGGTCACGCAGCTACCAGACTTCTTAATTAAAAAAAAGGAAAGTAAAAAAATTTGGGGGGGGTTGGGGGGGGCCTGCACTAGGGACTACCTTCCTCATTCATCACCGCAAGCTAGCGGAGATGCTACGACAATACCTTCTTGCAGACATGCTGGGTCTATCAGAGGGAACTGGAAACTTCAGCTGCTATCCTACGCAGAGGTGAAACACTCCTCCTCCCCCCCATCCTCCCCCCCCCCAAAAGCAAAACAAGCCTGCAGTTTACAGATCAAAACATGAACCCTTCATGTGAAACTCTCGGAGCACCTACATCCTGAAACGCAATTGGAGGAGCAAAAGAGATTCACCGTACACATCCGCGTGTCGCGTGT